CAGCAGCATTAACTGAACCATAAAAACTAATTCCTTCCACAGCCCGTAGCCTTTGTTCTAGCATATTAATTTTAGAGTTTTCTTGAGTTTTCACTCTTATCTTTTCCTTATCTTTTCCTTTCAGTTCATTTAGATTAGGGATTTGAATTGGTTCAACTACTTTTTCAGTAAAGACAGGATTCACATAGCTATGATAATGCCCTGGATTAGAGGCTGATGGTATTCCAGGATATGTAAGATATATGAAATATTATGATGGAACTTTTTGTGTAGACTGAGCTTGAGGTGGACCAAAACCAGGTGGATATAGGGGGTCAGTCATTTCTTGCGATGCAGGGCCTTGTTGGCTTGTGTTCTCTTCTACTCCTTTCCTCTTATTTAATTTGTTGAGAGCATCCAAAATTTTACTTAACTCATTCTTAATCTTTTCTTGAGCTTTTTCTAGTTCAAATCGGTGAGAATTTTTTTGCTTAATTTGTTTAGCTCTAGATCTTGTGTTGTATTGATGGACAGGGTTCTCGTTAGATGGAGCTATCCTTAAACCTTTAGCACCATAATTATGATTAGAAATGCTATGCTATGCTTTATGTATGATACGTTGATGCACGAATGAAATGTACATTTTTATGGATGAAATCTAATATGAAATGGATGCAAATGAGTGTTAAAACATGATCATGAAAATAATGCAGATGCATAAAATCAGACAAACAACATAGTTAGTTTCATAGATGAAATGAAAGTGATGCCGATGCATAATGTTACATATGATAATGAAAATGATGCACAAAATCAGACAATCAAAATGATTAGATAAAGATTCTTCTTGTGTCCTAGTTTCAGGGTATACCTATCATTGGGTAGAAAGGGCTCTATCTTAGGTTTAGGCACTTCTAAGGTTCACTATATGTGATTCAAGGTTAAAGTCTAAAAGGTTTTCAAATTGCTCCTTACATCATTGTCCATCACAAACTAGTAAGACACCCTAATCCTCACTTATTATAGGCTACAAGCGAAAAAGGTTCAATTTGAATGGGAGTATTTCGCTAGCCACTGCGGAGGCATTAAACCTCATGAAAACAATAGGTACTTTACTCTCTCCTAAAGGGATGGAGCTCAGGCATAGAGCTCATGTTATGCATATGCATATAAATGACATAATTAATAAAGTAAATAAACATGAATGAATAAAAAATCTATACAAAAGGTTCAATTTTATTATGCTTTTGGATAACACAAATTTATTTGCTGCCCTGACTCTCGGACTTCCCCAGCGGAATCGCCAAGCTATCATAACATCTAGATCTAGGGATCTATTGCTAAACATTGACTTGAAGGAGTCGCCACCAATCCTTTTTTATCTAGGTACGATTGGCCACCTAAGGAATATATCCTTTCAGGGAACACCTAAGTTTAAAGGTTCCTAAAAGAATAGGTTCGGGTCTACTAACCAGAACAGAGTTTGAAAGTTCGGTTACGTGTGAGGAATGTTACAGCAGCCTCACAACGCCCATCAAAAGATGGTACCAGCTTAATTTTGTGTTATCCAATTAGCCTTAAAAATTTACCAAGTAATTAATTATTAGAAATTATTTTCAATTGACTTTAATACTTTTAGTAAAAAATTGAAAAAATTCTCTCACCTTAAGAGTATGCAAGAAAACTATTATTTCACTTGCAAAGACTCTGTCGTCAGATTATTTAACATTAAAAAAAATTCAAGAAAATAAAAAGGAAGAAAAAAAATGATTGCTTTTGTACAGGAAAAATTGATACTTTCAACTTTTTCTCAAAATATTTTTTGAAACTTTTAATTTCGAGAAAAATTGATACTTTCAATTTTTCCTCAAAAATTCACTTTTGAAAACTTGTTTCTAAGAAAAATTGGTACTTTCAACTTTTCCTCAAAAATATTTTTTAGAAAGCTTATTTTCAAGGAAAATTGATACTTTCAACTTTTCCTCAAAAATCCTTTTTAGAAAGCTTATTTTTAAGAAAAATTGATACTTTCAACTTTTTCTCAAAAATATATTTTTTGAAAGCTTATTTTAAAGAAAATAATAAAATAAAATAAAATAAAAATAAAAAGTATTAAACAATTCTAATCTAATCAATAAATAATAATAATAATAAAATAAATAAATATATAAAATAAAATAAAAAATGAAAAAAAAAACTTGAAAACAGCTCGGCTCAGCTTGAGGAAGAAAAACAACTTGGAGACTCGGCTCGGAGGTGTCGGCTCGACTAATGGTTCGAAGACGTAGGTCACACGCGGGTCAAAAACAGGTTGGTGCTCGGGTCGGATCTTGGCAAAACGCGCAGATCCTCTAGGTTTACTAACTCGAAAACGACGTTGTTTTCACTAGGTATAAAAGGCTAATCCCTCTATTTTTTCAGTAGATCGAGCCTTCTTTCTCTCTCTTCCCTTCTTTTCCTCTGCCTTCTTTCTAAACCGCGAAGAACTCTGGTGAAATTCTCGTTGAATTATGGAAATTTTCATCAGAATCTAAATTTTTCGCCAGAAATTTATCAAAAAATTGATCGATTTCTGGAAAAGTTATTGAAAATTGGGAAGTTGGTCGAAAAATTCAAACTTGGCCGGAAAAGTAGTCAAAAAATTCAAACCTCGTTGAAAAATTCAATTGAAATCTGAAAATTTTCCAAAAATTTCTAGAAAAAATTCACCAAAAAATTTTAAAAAATTCCTACCGATTCTTAGAGCTGTTCTAACGCATCCAAACCTTTTTTTAGCTTCTGTTTCTTCTCTGTGTCTGTGTTTCTCTATGTGTTTTCTTCTGTTCTTCTAGTACCTATTTATAAGGATTGATCAGAAGAGTTTCTGATCAATCCCAACTCTTTCTGGGTTTTGGATTCAATCTTTAAATCCAATCCCAATTCTGTCAATTCTCAAATCACAGCCAAATTCATTCCAATTTTTTTTATCCTAATCTTAACCGAAAATTAATCAAAATAAAAAGATAAATATATTAATAGATAACAAAAAAAATAATTAGATAAATAAAAGAAATAGATAAATAATAATAATGAAAAATAAAAGCAGATAAATAATAAAAATATTAATAGATAAAAAATAAAAATAAAAATATGTATGAAAATAAAAATAAAAGTTCATTGGGGCCAGCTAATTGGATCCTAAACCAGGCCCAATGGATTTAAACTCAAATCCTATTAGACCAGGTCCAATGGAATTGGGTCCAGACTAAATAGAGTGTCTACATACTGCAGGAAAGGACAAATTGATTGGTTATTGGAGATGCCTATGTGTGATTGGTGATGGTTCTATAATATTACTTTTGGCTAGATAAATGGGTGGGGCATAATCCCATTAAGGAGACGTTCTCTCGTTTGTTTTCATTAGCAATGAATAAAGAGAGCCAATTTGCTGATATGGTGAATCAATAGGTGCATGGAATCTTCAATTTAGGAGGCAATTGCAGGAATGGGAAGTGAGTCTTTGAAGGAGCTTTTAAAAGATGTCGAGGAGGTTTTTCTTAATGCCAATATAAAGGATAGACTTGTATGGTAAGCTGACAATAAAGGCTACTTTTCTGTCTAAAGGCTCAATGCTGCCCTTGACACACAATTAATTCCACAGGTATGGCTTGTTTCTATCTGGAAGTATAAAGTTCTGCCTGAAGTTCAGTGGTTTTTTATGGAGTGCTATTTTGGATTGTGTGCCCTCAAAAATCAGAATGCTTTTTGAGATCTAGAGGTGTTCCCTTTAATCGAGTATAGTGCCTGTGTGTTTGCTGTGGTTTGATTGATGAGGATTGCTTTCGTATTTTATGCTGCTGTGATTGTCCATGGAGTATCTGTTTTTCTGCTTTTAAGTGGTGGGGGCTGGTTTCGGTGATCCCTAATTCTATTAGTGACTTTATTTTACAATGTGAATGTACTCCTTTTTTTGGTTTATTGAAAACGAGATAGCTTTCTGTTTATGGGGCAACTTTCTGATCTTTATGGATTGCTAGAAATGAGTCTGTTTTTGAGGGAAAAAATGGGAAGGGGAGGAAATACTCTTTTCAAATTGAGGGCAATGTTTTGGGTGAAAGCAATAGAGGGAAGATTGAATTTTGATGAATTTGGTTGGTGGTCTGATCCTAAGATCTTTACTGTTGTTGCTATTTTGTCCAAGCCTAGAACAGGGATTTATTGTTCAAATCCTAAAGGGAATGCTTTGAAGTTTAATGTTGATGGATAGGAAAACCTGGTCCAGCTGGTTGTGGTGGTGTTCTTAAAAATGCTTCAAGAGTTATTCTTGGATTATTTTATAAGCCTATAGGCATTAAGGATTCAAATGTTGCAGAACTAATGGCTATAAAGACTGCTTTAAAGGTGTTCTCCAATCTCCATGTATCCTAACGTTAAAAATCTTGTTTTGATTGTTGAATCTGATTCAAAGATTGCTATTTCTTGGGTGTGTAATTTTGAACCAAGGCCTTGGAGTGAATGAAAGACTTTTAATGATATTAACAAGCTTAGAGAAGAGATAGGTTTTTTTGTTTTATTTTAGTCATTCCTTTAGGGAAGATAATTCTTTTGCTGACTCATTAGCAAAGATGGGTGTGGATCAAGACGAGCTTATAATTTTCATTTGCAATTTTTATATGCTTATGTCTGCTTCTGATCTTGTTATTTGATACCAGTCTGTTTATGGACTGATTTCATTAATAAAATTTTTATTTTGGCTTAGCAAAAAAAATATATGATTGTTAATTTATTAATCTGTTTCTTTTTTTTAGTACACATGAAGAATTAAGTGAACAGAAAAAAAGAAAAAAGTTCAAACCTTAAATCTTACCATTGAGCCATAATACAAATTCATTGTTATGAGCTGTGAAAATTCAAAATTTTCTTTAGTCATTGGATTAATTGTTAATTGGATGATGACTAATGATTACATCGTATTATTATAGTGGATTTAGTTAAATTTTAACAAGTATACTATTTTATGTTTAATTTGCACATTTGAACAGCACTATCTGCTGAAATTCCTTTTCTTGACGCCTACTTAAGCAAAGATGGATTATTTGATCATGGGGTTAACTTTGCGGTTGCCGGAGCTACTGCCTTGTCGGAGAAAGATCTAACCCGGAAAAACGTTTCCTTTGTGCCTATCAACCGATCTCTAAGTCAACAACTTGACTGGATGTTTAGCTACTTCAATAGAACTTGTCACAGTGACAAAGGTTAGCGTCTCTTCTAACAATGTTCAAGCAATTAACTGTGTTACAAACTAAAAATGTTTTGTGTGATAATTTGACAGATTGTTTCAAGAAAAATGAAAGAGCTTTTTTCATGGTTGGGGAGATTGGAGGAAATGACTATAACTATGCCTTTCTGAAAGGAAAAACCTTAGAGGAGGTTAAGCCATTGGTGCTCGATGTAGTCCAAACCTTAAAATATGCTGTCAAAGTAAGTTTTTCTTAAAGAAACATTTGATTCTATCACTGCTACTCATTGTAACCCTCTTACTCATACTTTCAATTATTATTGTGTAGAGAGTTATCAGATATGGTGCTACTCGGCTAGTCGTGCCTGGAAACTTCCCCATAGGCTGCTTTCCTGTATATCTCACTAAATTTCAAACAAATGATACTACTGCTTATGATGAACTTCATTGTCTAAAGGAGTTGAATAACTTTTCAATTTATCATAACGATCTTCTCCAACAAGCCATTGATGAGCTAAAAGAAGAACATCCCAACGTGGTCATCGTCTATGGTAACTACTACAATGCATTCCGGTGGATTTTGTCTGAGGCTAATTTGCTTGGTATGTCTAATTTCTTTGCATTCATAATAAGTTTGAGATTGTGACACTAATTGTTATAGTCATGCTTTGAGTTTTTTAAAAATCCTCAGGTTTTGATCCAACATCATTACAAAAAGCTTGTTGTGGGATTGGAGGTGAATACAATTTTGACCTTTCAAGAATGTGTGGAGATCCCGAAGTAACATTATGTTTAAACCCTAATGAACGACTGAGTTGGGATGGAATTCATTTGACACAAAGGGCTTACGAATTAATGGCAACATGGCTCATCCACGACATCTATCCGCAACTTCAATGCGAATACATTGTTTCATACAGTTCTGCTCTCTAGTTTCAGATAGGAACTTGTGTGAAGTTTCTATCATGCATGTCAACAAATTGTTTAATAGAAGGGGATACAAGTAGATAAAAATTGTCATTAATTCATGCTCTACAATTTTCCGTATTAACATTGGATGTTCATAGAATCCAATGACGGACATAATGCCCTGCATGCTTCACATATTAACAACTTTCAGATTTGATAAATTAAATTGAAAACCTGAAGTTTAGATCGATTGGCTCATGAAGTCACTTTTAAAAAATGATATTGGACAAGTTTGATATTTAAATCTTAGCATTTTTTTTTCATCTTCATTATACGGTATCTATTGCATAAAAAAAACTGCAATGGATTCTGTTTTATCCTATGATGTATACAAATTAGTTATGTATATTTACAATTTTACTTCTATAATGTCACCATCTTTGAGCCCTGTGCTAGGCAATACCGGTTGACTATTAACTAGAACTAGCTTTCCCTCAAGTTCTGCTCTTGTTGAGGCATTTGCAGCAGTGCTGCCAGTTCTCAATCTCATTATGTCACCATGGGGCCAACATATAACGGCAACCACTCCAACGACAACAGAAGCAGGGTTGGCACTAGATTTTGGACCACCATCTTATCTTCCGAAACTTGATTCCGAACGTAGTCGCTCTTCCCACAGAAGCATTGCCCGCAACAAACTCGCCTGTGTAATTTAAAGCAACTCATAGCAATGCCTACTTTAGTGATGCACTTTAGAAGTGGTAAGATTAATGCGACTAGACCTTGCAGTAATGGTTGTAACAGTCAATTGGGTGTTAGCAGAACTGACAGCCCCATTGACAGTGGCACCAGACCAGAGGCAGCAGCAGCTATGGCTTTAAGGGAAGCGGAAACGGTGAATTTCCTGGGAATACACCTGAACTTAGTAGCAGTTTTTGGGTGGAATTTGTGCAGAAAACGAGGGGAAATTTTGTGTGAAATAAACATTTTCCTGGAATAGATTTGGGGCTGGCAAGAAGAAGAAGAAAAAGAGAGAAATGGCGTGTTAAGATTAAAAAAAAAAAAAATCAAATGTTTTACATGATTCTGTCGTTGTACTTAAATATTTCGAGCAAAAACGGTTGCTATCAAACAAGAAACGTGTGCTTTGCTCTCGTTGAGAGTCGAACTCAAGACCTCCCGCTTACTAAACGGGTGCTCTAACCAACTGAGCTACGAGAGCTAAGCGATAGTTAAAAGTTGAGCAGATTTCTTCTTGTTCTTGTCTTTACAAAACCAAAATTCAACCCAACGTGGAGAGGTTTGGGTTGAAATCTTTCCAATTTTTTCTGGGGATTGGAAAGTCCATGTTTCAAAAGCTTACTATCGTTAATAAAATAATAAAAAATCAACGAGATATAGAAAATTATACAATGTCAATATTGTTATTTTGTTCAAAAATTAAAATATTTTTTTAAGTGAATTTTTGAGTTCGAATGAATAACTCAACTCTTAACATAACAACTTGCTACATGAAATTTTAACTAACCCATTTTTAGTTTAAATCAGTATCAAGAGTGGGTGTCCGATACATGTTTGTACTGCAAAGTTCAAAATGAATGAGCTTTTCATATATAACACACAAAAAGATTTTAACAATTTGGTTTGATCGTTCTTTTATTGTATATCTGAAATATTTGGGCAAAAGATGTTCAATAACACAAAATCTTTGTTAGCAAGCCAATTTTTCTTTTCATTTTTTAGTTTTTACCAGCCAAAATTCTTGAGCAAAAGGCCAAGCTCTCCATTAATATCAGTGTTACTTTATCAAAGATTAAAATGATAACTCATAGATTAAATTTGATTGGACGAACTCTAAATCCTTCAAGTTTGATTGATCAAAATCACGTGTTTTTATCTTAATTTGCTAACTGACTTTATAAATCTTCAATTGATTTATTTAACAACACTTAAAAAAAATAAATTAGTTAGTAAATAAAATAAAAAAAAAATTGCGCGATATATGTCACTTTGTAATTGGAAGAAAATTTTCACTTTCTAGACATGGCGACAAGGAAAAATGTGATTTTTTTCATTGTTTATGGTGTTTGATTTGATCCTTTTGAGGAATATTTTGAAAATAAAATCTTAAATTTATCATAATGAATGGATATAAAATTAGGTTAAAATAATATTTGAAATTGACGATATTTTTTAATGTATTATAAAATAAATTATAATGAAACTTTTAATGATTAATAAGTGATCGATTTCAATTGATTAAAATTCGTATATTTAATAGTACCTCCCAAGTGCTGATCATCAAGAACATAATCTTCTTCGATTCGCTAATAATCATATACGAAGTCAATACCACTTTTTATTAAATGTGATCTGAAAGCACTTCAAGACTAGCCTGATCACCAGCTTCAAGTTCCTCCCTAAATTTCCAACAACTCAGCTAAACGATTTTGGTGTTTTTGGTTTCAGGGATTCCGACAAAATGTTTGCCATGGCTCCACTTTGTGCCTTTGGTCTCGTTCACAATCTCAGCTCCTGGTAAGAAATCAAATGTTTTATCGTTGCTGGCCGAGAGAATGACAATCGATTTTAGCTAGCAGCTACTCTTTCGACTACAGTTGGGAGGCACCGTCAATGAAATCTTTGGCCTTGGAGCAAGATGGACATAGTGACAAAGTGGCATATCCTTGGATGGATAATAGTCCGAAATTTTGCCACAATCATATAACACCTGTAGCAGTGAACTCAAATTACAATGAGTTATATACAAAAGTACAAACCAAAAAAAAAAGAAATAATAAAATAAAAGATTTTCACTTGATGATGAAAATTGATTTGAACCTAATTTAAATATTAATATTAAATCCGATTTAAATAAAAAAGTCGGTTTAATTTAAATATAATATTATGATTTTAAATCGATTTTCAATTTTTTTTATTTTTTGGCACTCTTAGTAAAAATTGCAGTTCTTTTTGGTTGATAATTTTTAGTTTGTTTTTTGTTATTTCCATAAAAATAATATGAAAGCGAGAAATAAAAAACAATAAATAATTAAAAAATTACCCAAACTGAACTTTCAAAAATTAATAAAAAACAAAAAAACACCTGTGGAGAAGCAGCTGTTTTTTATTACTCCAAGTGATTGTAAGTTTGCACTAGTACAACAAAGATAGTATTGATTCTGATCCGTTTGAGTATGACGAAGAGCCCTATGTTTCCACGAGAGCTCATATTGACTAATTTTTCAGTAAGTTCTAACTCAATGTCACATGATCTTCATTTCCTAAAATATATGATAAATAGATATTGTCAATTTTTATTCATCAAAGAATATATATATATATATATATATGTCTATATTAAAACTCAGTTTAAACTTGATCGAGCTTTATTTTTAATGCTCAAACTTGGATATGTAATCGAATTTGGTTTCATAAATTCAATAAAATTATACATATAAATATTAAATATTATGTTTTTGCCATGTATTTATATATATTAAATATTAAATATATTAAAAAAAGCTAAAGTCTACTTGTGAGCATCTTAACTTGAGTGTTAAATAAATTGAGTACAATTCAACTTGTTATTCAAATAGTTAGAGTTGAAACTCAGTTCAATAATAAATGAGTCAAATCAAATCCGAATGGTCTACAAAATGCTGGCGAATGGATTAATCACATTATTGTGCTATTATTAGTTTCAGGAATTCCGATCAAGCTTGAGAAATAATCCCGAATCATCCCTTTGGTCTCATTAACAATATACACAGATGGTAGATATTCGAACATCTGATCACTAACAATTGAAAAAATGATGCACAAGGTGAACCAACTAATCTTTTCACCAGGATGAGATGATGCTGATAATGACAAAGCTATTCAATGTCCTTTAATGCCATGCTCAAACCAGATTAAAACCTCACTTCCTGAAACATATTTGCTCGTTATACCGCATTCCTGTAATACCTGATTTTTCAAAATCGTTAGTTACCGTTCATTTGGGAGCTCGATTAGAGGGATTTCACTGCACTGACATGTGTGTCTTATCATTGAACTTCCAAAGGAAATCTAGGTAATATAAGAAAAATATATAAAAATTTAGAGAGAGATTAGAGAAAAGACCTGTCGGGTAGCAACTATTTTTGTGTCTGTGAGGTAGTTAAAATGTTGAACTTTATTGCTTTCAATAAAGTCGATGTTGAATAAGTTTTTGATCTGTTCCACTTCGAAGTTTTCAATTGGTTCCATCTTGAGCACACCTTCAACCTCAATTAGCTTTTCACATCCAAAAATGATACACTTTTTAAAGGAAATTAGGCATGATAGACTTGACAGCCCGATTGTTAATGGAGACAATGCCATATGAAACTCAACCAATGGATTGATTAATATTGGAAGCTTTGGAATCACGTGGAGTTCTGTGCAAGAAGTGAGAAGAAGTTCATCAAGCTTAGAAAGGTTACCAGTGCTCTCAGGCACGCTACAAAGTGGGTTTCTGCTTCAATTTAAACATTTCAAGGAAGGTAAGCTGCTCAGGTCATCAGGCATAACATCATCAGATGGCCTACAACTTTCGAGACTCAACTTTACCAAAGAACGTGCCAAAGATGCCCAAAAGAAACCCAATTCTTTGCTTCTTCTCAGTGACAACCATGACAAGCAAGATCTTGATTGATATATAGCAGTTTCATTTAAATTAAGCACCCTTAATGATTTCATATTATGTAACTCCCCAGGCACCTCATCAAGTCTTGAGCAACCAGATAAAATAAGCTCTTCAAGAGATACTAATGAACCAATTGTCCTTGGAAGTTTCATGAGATTTTTGCAACCTTTAAGGCTTAAAAAAGTTAGTTTCTTTAGCTCACCAATGTATTGATCAACCTCAATCAACTTTATGCAATCTTTGAGCATCAACTTCTCAAGACTAGGGAGCCCTGGAAACTTTGGGGTTTTGACAAGGCAATGACAGTGATTGAGATTAAAGATCTTCAAATTTGGAAGACGCTATAAAAAAGAGAAAAAAATCAATTTGGTTTTATATAAAGGATGATGTTATAAAAATTTTTTAAATTATAGTGAAATATTTAATATAATATTTAAATTTAAAAAATTTTTAATATGACACATGAACTGTTTCATGTGAATTTATTAATTAATATGATATTGAAAAAAATGTTTATTTTTTACATGTCATTATTTAGATATAATTACAAATATCACATTCATTAATAATTCTATAAATTATGTACCCCATTAAATATTTTTAAAATTTAATAT